TCTGTTTCAGTTAAAAACCTAAATATACTAAGTTTTATATGTAAAATTGCCACAGATGCATGTGTAAACAGAATACACACTTGAGGGTTTTGCGCCATATTTTTGGCTCATAACTTCGCAAAACATTCATAAACCACAGCTTGCATAACTTTATTTAGAGCAGGTGGTCTTGATTCAAACAAGCCCACACACAACTTAACACGATACGTAGATCATAAGAAAATCCCCACCGAATGACATGAAATGCTGCTTGGCTAAAGCTATTTCTGGATCCAATCATGCCGCAATTTTGACACAGTGTTCCCCAATGTCATTTGAAAGTTAATTTGATCTCGGGTATGGTGTGTAGAAACCGGTTTTCCTTCACCATGCACCACATAATAGAAGTGCACACTGAAAAAGCACCGGAAGATAATCAATTAGTATCTTATTAGTTATTGTTTATTCTATGTAATAATATATACACTGTAAAAAAATTCCGTAAAATTTACGGTAAAAAAACGAAATGTAACGCAGGGAATTCTGGGAATGTCAATTTACGGTTATTCACTGTAAATTATACGGTATTTTTCCCTTCCAAAAACGGTATACTACCGTAAAATTTATGTCCAATACATGTAATGTCCAATACAGTTTTCCACCGTATATAGTAGGGGAATTTACCGTTAACCATTTAACAGGTTTTTACTGTAGCATTTTTACAGTCTTTTAACGTTAAATTCACGGTCATTTTTTACAGTGTATTTGTACGTTTTATTGTGACGTTTACACATGTAAGTAGTTCTTATGTTCAGTAAAACACTCAGATTTGGAAAGGTTTTTGGACTTTTGATAAAAAGGCTACCTTGGTTCCAAATGCCATAACTTTTGATTGCTTTGAGATATCAACACAAAATTTGGCCCAGATACGGTTGACGTTGTTGTGAACAAGCCTAAACTTTTTATGACCAGTCACATACACTTTCTAATTGTCATCATGTCAAGCATGAATAATAACAAAATAAATCTTTCAATTATTCTTGGGTTTTCACAGCAGTGTTGTAACATAAGAGACTCCAAAATATATTTTCATAAAATCTGAAGAGGTTTTCTTTCAAATGAGACCATGAACTTAATGCTATTTTTTTTTATTATTATTATTTATTTATTTTTGTAAGTTATAAGCCTTTACTTTTAATTATGTCACTTAGACATGAAATCATTAAAAATGTCTTTACGGTGTAAAGGTTAAAAAAGGCAAGAAGGACAGACTACTACTAGGCTACAAGCAGTTTAAATAGGCCTAGTTTGAAGCCAAAACAAATGAGCCTCAAACCGAAAAGCGTTAGCAAGCAAAAAAGCGAAAGCGAAAGCGACAGTTCCCGTAATAAAACACGAATCAACATAGTTTGCATAGCATCAAATGAGCTGTGCACTGACTATGTTTTCACAAAACAATGTTTTTGTTGGTTTCAATGCCGAACTCTAATCCACTGCTTTGGTCTATTTGCCTATAAATAGCCTATAGGCAAGTTAATAGTTTCCACCAAATTACCTTATCTGATATGAATAGCAATCGTTATGTCTAATATCAACACTGTCAAAGTTTTGTAGCGTTGCATTTAAAGCAGTTGTTTTCACAAGAGCGACATTTAAGCCACCTGCCCTTAAGGCCTATTTTTGGATATCTGTTAGGCTACTCTTTCGTTAATGATATTCACATTGATACAGTGGTGCACCTCAAGCCATCATGTAATTCATGTAATTACCAAAACAATGTCAAGCCATCAGATTCACGTAATTCAGACTCACTTAATTACCAAAACAATGTCCTCCGCAAGTAACTTGTAGTTTGATGTGTCAGCCACCAGAGGGCCAGAGGTTACATAGTGTAGCTTTAAATTTAATCTTCCATGCAAATGGTACTTGTGGCTTTATAAGGCTTGAAATATAGTGCATGATTTGTATGGGATTTGTTCTTGTTGCTTTGCCCATTCACTTTAAATATATGAAGAGAGCAGCTTGAACATTCTTCTAAACATCTCTTTTTGTGTTTCTTTCGGTTGGGAAATAATGATCGTTTTTCACTATACCTTTAAGGCCACACAGGGTCTAAAAGTAAGCCAATTTTGTGTGCAGGTGTCCAAAACTTTCTCTCTTTAGCCTGACAGCACAAGTTTTTTTCTGCTCTCTTGACAAATGCCTCTCAGAAAGTAAACAAGGACATAAAATATCCCGACAAGACCCTCAAAGGGAAGTGTGTCTGCTCTCTCTACACAACGAGCCAGCCATCAGGTGACTTCTTTTCCACAGGTGTAGCGAGGGCTGAGCGGAGAGGAGGGGTCTCAGCTGGTTGGACAGAACAAAAGCGCACCGGACAGAGCTGTCTGCTCTATGTTGACCTTGAGCAACACACAAAAAGCCATCTGTCATTGAAAAATTTCTTTGCTTGCCTCAACTGGTCATTCCGTGACCATTCATGGCTAGTCACGGTCCACTTTGCTGAAACTTTGCTCAAAGCAGTGACTGCCAGCCTTGTTCCTGAAGTATTCCAGACTGCACATTTTAAATGTATCCTTTATTTAACACCTGATTCAGCTCATGAGCAGAGGCTCCAGGACTGAGGTGTGCCAGATAAGGGAAACGTTCAAAATACAGTGGTGTGGCAAATACTTGGGAAACACTGACTCAAAGCCAGTTAAAGCAAATTTAATGAGTGATTCATTTTTTAAACATAGCATACATTTTTCTCTGACAATGTATTGTAGTGTTTTTGGTAAAACAAATATCTTGGAGTTTGGAGTTTCCTCATGTTATCACTGTGAAGATCATATGGATCAGTAAAGCCTGAATGAAGGTGCTTTGTTACTTGGCAACTGTATTATATTATATTATTTGCCTGAATCACTTGATATAATGCATATAGCCTTGCTTTAGTTTACAGTAAAACAGTAATACAGTCCATGTATCCTTTAGGTATTAAAACAGATCATTTAAAAATACAAACAAAAAGTCAAGTCCTTTCTCAGGAATACTTAATCACGATAGCGTCAGTTCAAGGTCAGGTAGTCTACGTTCTTATCAGTTGTAAAGGCCTTGAATGTTTGCATTTTACCTGTCTGACAATAAAAGACATGGTTTGGGCAAAGCAAGAACAACAGGACACCATTCCAAACACTGAAGGAGCGGATGTGTGCCAAATCAGAGCTTAAGAGGTTCTAAGTGGAGGTCCTATCTCTGCTCTGATAAGTGAAGTTGCCTTGTGTCAGTGTTTTTCAATGCACTCCTTGTTTTTTCCTTATCAGCGATAATTAAAACATTGAAATTCCTTTCACGGAGCCGATGGAGTTAGAGTCAGACCTGTTGGGAAGCATCTTGTGGAAATGTAACAGGTTGGAGCATATCAGAGCCCTTAGCAACCCATTTATGGCCAGAGGAGTGTAAAAATATTCACACACTGGTGCCAGAAAACATCACGTTCCCACACTCACTCACAAACCCATCTTTCAGCCCAAAAAGGGAAACCACTTTTATCCATCTTTTTATGGTAAACAACAATTACATGTGCATATTTTGAACTCAGCATACTGTTCATTTGCTTTCAGTTCAGAGTTTGTAAACCACTGCAGAATAATATGTAGAAGGGGAGAGCAGGGCTAGTTGTAAAACACATTGTTTAAATGGTTGTACACATGCTAGCATGACAAAATTTATGCAGCTGCCATATTTACATTATATAGTGAAAAATGGCGACAAAAGTCAAAAACATATCACTGAACGTGTAAATAGCGATAGAGGCTATTTAAACTAAGTGCAAATAGCAATTAGATGCTATTTACTCTAAGTGAAAATAACATTTTCTTAGTGATAGATGCTATTTGTGCAAATAACAATGGATTCTATTTACACTAAGTAAAGACAACAGGATTTTCTTAGCCATATGCTATTTACACTAAGTGCAAATAGCTATAGATTCTATTTACACTATGTTAAAATACCAGGATTTTCTGCTATTTATACTACTTATTGCAAATAGTTATCTGCACCTCAGTATTGTAGTATACATTATAAACCAGTATGCGATAATAACGTATTGAGTGCAAATTATCATTTTAATTCAAATCATTAAATAGATGCCACCTTATTGGGACAATAAAGCCCTCCCTACACCTACCCTAACCCTACCCAATACTTTATTTTCAACTTTTCGATAATTTCCTTCTTTTTGTATTGAAAATAAATGCCTTTCCTACATGATATGAGTTTTAAAAGGGAGAAAAAACGTTTGGCAAAAGATGGATTCGAACTCGGGTCAGTCGAATCGCAATTTACCATCATTGGAGCTGTTTTTTTTGATAGTCATCTTTTGTAGTGTTGACTAGCCCAACAACATGTTTGTGGGTGGAGTTAATGTAAATAGCCTCTGCCAACAAGGCGGGCTATTAGTGTAAATAGAGACCCCTTTCATTTAATCATAGCAAAAGAAATTTTCTTACTGAAGTCAATATTTCATCCCAGTTTTTAGTGTTAAAACGAAACAAATCTGTTAATTAGCAGTTTCGATAGCTATTGAGAAACCACGTGAAAAACTTTCGCATGCGCACAAGGGAAATTTTTGCGTGTTCGCCATACGTTGTTTCCGGTTTGTGTATATCTGATTTTTCCATTTGAACGCAAAAAGTGTATCGTTACGCATTAAAATATTCTCTTGCACACACAAAAATGTCCTTTTTTATTAAAAAAACTTACTGTAAAGTGGATCATCCCAAACTTAATTTAGCGAATCGTAATCATAACCAACCATATCCTATTGTGATTCATTTTTTAACCTTATTTAAAAGAGGATTTTTTTTTTTCAATGTAACGTGACCTGAAACAACTTTCATTTGCAGCTGACGTCATGAAATCCTTCTCTTCCAATTCATAGCTTTTAGTCACGTGACCGGCTCGTAGACCTGGAGGGCAATAACACAAGTAGCCTATCAAAAAGTGAAATGTGTTTAATTCACCAACTATCAGAAAAGACACAGTCACTACATCACTACACTTAAAACATTCTAATCCCTAAATGAAAAACATTTATGCTCTGAATTTTTTTTTTCTGAATTTTTTTTTTTTTTCTAACCACACACTCATACAACTCTATACATTTAAATCCATATCCCTACTTGTGGTTAGAAAGCTCAGTGTGTGTTTTCACAGAAGAGAAGCAGAGTTGATGGCTGATAAATGCATCACACTGGAGGAGAGTTCATCTCTTATGGTTTTACTGTAAATGTTTACATTCCAGCATGCCGTGATGTTATCAGCTAATCGTTTTTGGAACAGACTGTGGAGTCCTGTGGGTTGGATTATTGGTGGGGTTGGTGGTGTTGGGGGGTGATTCGCCTGAGGAGACAAGGTCAATGTGAAGCTGTGCTCTCTCCAAACAAAGGTATTAACTTTGGGCCATTTCTTTCCTCTTTCATGCCCTTTCTATAGCCTGGATGAATGCATTAACATCTCTTTCCACTGCGCACATGTGAAAATTTAGCTTCATGTTACTTCCTCACACCTGGAAGCTTGATCATCAAGAGTCATTAATGCATGTCATGGATTCAATTACTTTTTATTTTGTAGGTGATGTGTCGTTTTTTTTTTTTTTTTCAACTTAAAATGCTTTCACCTGTCCCAGCAATACAGAGACAACTTTAGGTAGGTTGCCAACTAAAGTAGGTTGATTTCCCTAAAAAGTTTTAACATTGTTGATCTGCGATGCTGTCAAAACATTGCAAAATTGACTTAAGCAATGCCGTGAGGTTACGGTGGGACTACTTGTTAAATCTTTAATTACAGAAATAGGGAGTGTAGGGAAAAATTACTTTTGCAGATTCTTTTCAGTGACACTAATTGTGCAAAAATTAAATGATGCCTTTTAAGATGAGCAATAAACCTAATTGTTGTCATTGATATTGAAATAAATGAACTGCTTTTTAAAGAAACCCATTTCTGTCATGGAATAAAAAAAAGTAACTGTAACTTTTTATCTTATAATCTGAGATATAATATCTTCTGAGTTTATATCTCACAATTGTGATTTTTTTTTCACATTTCTGAGAAAAAAGTCAGAATTGTGAGATATAAACTTGCAATTCTGAGAAAGAGTCAGAATTGTAAGAGAGTTCAGATTTTTGTTTTTGTTTACATTTCGCAATTGTTTTTTTTCCTCACAGAATAAAAAAAATAAAAAAGAATATTACTTTTTATCTTAATGCTGATTTTTTGCAATTGCGAGTTTATATCTCACAGTTCCGACTTTTCTCCTCAGAATTGCACGTTTATCTTGCAATTCACAATTCTTTTTCTCAGAATTGTAAGAAAACAGTAAGAATTGTGAGATAAAACGTTACAATTACCTTGATTTTTTTATGCCGTTCCAGAAACAAGTTTCCATATGCTCTTTGCAAAGAAAAAAAAAATCAAAGTAATTAATCTCTGATTCTTTTTTTATTGCTCATCAAGGAAATTGTGTGACATTCTGGAAGTACTTGCAGCTCTTTGTGTGAAATCCCTCAATCAGTGTCCTGGTTGAAGACAGACTCTTTGTACTGCAGTAGTTGAACTGGGAGGGTCCGACTCATGGTTGATGTATTTTGAATCAGTTCTTTGTCTCACCTGTTTTAATTTCCTCACAGATGAATGTCAGAGTGAAACATGGTAAAATAACAATTTGAGTCTTTTTACCCTGTCAATGTGAGGCTTAATTGCTGAGGGTTTTGTTGTAGCAGGTAATAATGAGCATGCAGTGGGCGAACTCTCCCAGCCACTTTTGTTATCTTTGTGAGGGTTTATAAGCCTGCTCACTCTCTAGTCTGCACGAATCGTCTGCTCTTCTCAAAAACTGTTTACATACTTTTTCACGATACATTTTTTGTATAAACAACTATATGGTGCTCAACTGCGCCCTAATTCCTCTTCAGAGCTTGATCTGTTAACTTCTTGAGTACTGAAGGCCTTGTGCTTATAAAGGCCATCATCATTAAGCGATTTTAATCATTTAAAAAAAGTAGGCTTTTCAAGTATTTTAAAGCATTATATTTACTAGCATTTTTGCATTTCATTATAGTAAACGTTTATCCAAGCACACTCTGTACTGATGGTACACAGGTGGCATAAAAGTATATTTTAGTGCACTTTAGTTATTTTCTTTCTGTACTCTGTTGGAGGATTGTAAACGGAAATCCGTGTTTTGCTCTCACAAAATGAACAATACATGGTTTGTTACTATGATTTCATCCATGAATCTTGATTGACTATGTGTAAAACATTGCTGTAGTGGATGAAGGTCTCAAAGTGTGTTTGCATATGGATGCTGTATTTTGGTGATACTGAACCTCCATTCTCTCGCCTTTATGAGGGTGTTGTCTCCTCAAGCACACGATTAATGTGCTCTGGGCTTTAGCCAGACTCTGTTGTGCAACATAGACATGGTCTATTGACAGTATCTGAATCATGCAGATATCACGAAAGGGCTGCTTAAACCCATGTGAACTGCTTTATATTGTGATGGTTGAAATAGAATTATATTTCTCGCTCCCAACAATTTTTTTTTTTTTTACTGCAATAAACAGCTGAATAATCCTCGGGTGTGTGTGAAAGGCAGCACAGTCTCAGTCACGTGGGATAACACACATCTCATCATCCTTACCTGAACACTTCAGATATTCATTACAGTTAATGAACAGGCTAAATTAATTGGCTAAATATGAATCAGTTTAATGCAAAATGATCTGCTTTCCACCCTAGCAAAAGAATAAAAATAAAAAATCATATGCCATAATTTATTTAAAATACATTTATTTCATGCGAAGTTCAAATCTGTTAACATATTTATTGACACATCACTTAAGACTTACTGATGTAAAATTATTATTAAACTTTTTTTGGGAGTATTTCTTAATTGCACAATGCACATTTCTTAATAGTATGCCCAAATTGTGCTTTGATATCACTATTAATAAGGATTGTATGATCTCTGTGTAATATCAGTCTTTAAATGCAAGATATTTAAAGTGTACCTGAAGTAAGTATATCTTTATTTGGACCTACTTCTGTAAGCGTATTAAGCACATTAGTTGTTCCAATTTAGCAGACTTTAAGTTTGCAGGTTAGTATACCAAAAGTACAAAATAAATGTAAGTTAATAAAAATCAATGTATTTCAAATAATTTTTAGTACTTTTTTTTCACTAGGGCACTGAAAAACAATTTTCACTCAGAAATTGCTTGTAAATTGCTAAACAAATCACAGAGAAAAGTGACACATTGAATTAAATGTGAAATATTTAAGTAAAATGACTAAAATAGATTTTTTTATTTTTGTAAAGCAAATTTAAATAATTGTTTGTCTACTTGAAAAACATTTTACAGTGATAGTCAATGAAAAGAAATTAATCAGCAGATTATTTAATTTAAATTTTAGAGTTTTTATTTAAATCATGCATGTATTTCAGTATTTTAGATATTTAATTAATATATAAGCGATTTGATATTGGAGAAAGAAATAAAGACAAATAGATGTTTATATTTGTACTGTTTGCTGTTGAATAATCTCATATAAACCCTTTTTAAAAGCATGTTATTTGGCACGTAAACAACACTTCATTTGTAAACGTGTTTGACCTTACAGTGATACTGTCCTTCTCAAACACAGGACTGCAGACTTGTCAAAACAGTCTGACCGACTTTGTTGTTGTTCGTGAAAATGTACGGCAGTCTTGCATGCGAGGTCAGAGACAGGGCAGACTCTAGATCATTTGGTATTTCTAATCCCAGATTGGCTCACTTTTCATATTTGTGAATTCATTATGGTTTCAATAAGAGATTTTGGTGTTGGTTTATCTAAAATTGTATTGAATTATTACTTTAATGTTACCGATGGTGTTTTCATTGGCTTTTATCTGTATGATAGTCTGTCACCTGTCAAGCCATTATTTACAAAGAATCTTTTGATGAGTTCTTCCTCTTAAATTATTGCCTTTAAGGCATTTATCTCTGTGTGTTGTGTTGACAAACCCACTTTAAGCTTTCTGCTTTTGCGGTTAGTTTGTCTCAAGACAGCTTAATTCTTCTTTTTTTTTAAACCTGTATTTTTCTGTTCAACACAGTGACTTTAAGACTGGATTTAAGCATTGAATTAAAGCAGTTGACACATTAGAAGACTTAGTGCACTATAGAGTGTATTTTCCATTGTGATGGAAATAAACAAGAACTTTAATCAGTGACAAATGCTAACAGAAAAACTCCTTTTAAACTAGCTAAACACTCCATATTAAAGCATTTATAGTAGACCTACATTTGAACACTTAAGCAGCACTTAAATGCATCAATGCCTTTGCATTAGATAACAAATATTAAACTGAAAAATGTGAAAGCACAATAATGCAAAACATTTTACAAACGCAAGATTGTTAGGTTTCAAATTATACGCTAAAAACCATTTAGACACTTTCTGACTTTTGTCAAAACATCTACATCTAGTAAAAACAGCATCAAAATTGGTAAATTTAATATTTTGTTATCTAAAGCAATACAATTTACTTGTCCAAATGCATTACCGTACAACATTAAAAAAGACGGATATAACTACAAATGAGAGCAACTCGTTTGAGTGAATTGTCTTTGCTTTGGCTTAATGATCATTATTGAAATGATTGATAGTGAACATCAGTATATCTCTATATTCCTCTGGTCATATAGTTTATTATAGTTTCAGCATTGATAATCCACGGTGGAATTGCAGTTTTGTTTCCTCTTTGGCTGTTTTTTGACTGTTTGTGTCTCCACAGTCACTTTCCATATGATGCTACAGCTCCGGTAAATCAGTACAGACCACCACTTAAAGTGTTTCCTGAGACCCACGGCTGGAAGCAGAACATGTAAGGATAGTAAGGGAATGACTGGTATAATGGAGGAACAGACGGACTGGGCAGCTCCTCGGTGTTGTATTGCCTCTGGTCGTTTCTCACCAGTACTTTCACTGCCACTCTCTTTGCCAGGGTTGTCGTGGGAGTTGTCGCGAGCTCGGCTGCCATTTGTCGCCGTTTAGTTTTGTATCTCCTGTTCTGGAACCAGATCTTCACCTGTGTCTCGGTCAGTTTGAGCGCTCCTGCCAGGTCGGCCCGTTCTGGACCGGACAGGTACCGCTGCAGGTTAAAGCGGCGCTCCAGCTCATACACCTGTGCGTGAGAAAACGCTGCCCGCGACCTTTTTTTGCTGGATTTGGGGTTGTCTTCACAGTTGCAGCTCTGTGGTTTCTCTTGGTCCTTGTCGTGATCTGTATTGATGGATAAAAACAGGTTTAGACTCTGGAAAATCAGAGACCTTTGTGTTACATACAGGAGCCGATATGAAAAATAAAATCTTAAAATAGTTGTATAATACTGAGGAGTGACTGTTAAGAGCTTAATAGGACTGTAATGTGAACTGCTGTGTATTTGAGAAGATTTTTACATTAAAGCATGCAGTGAGAAATTCTTCATTTTATTTCTCTGAGAGGAGACAAGGGCAGTGCTTTTTCATTTCAGCTTATTTACCTCAGGTGTTTACTGTGTGTTTTTAACTTTGATATATTACTATATAAACTGTGTAAATTAGTGTCAAGTGTAAAGAGTGCTTTATTTTATTTTATTTTTAGCTCCACTACACTATAATTAAAAACATAAATATTTTAAATGTTGTAAAATTTATTTATTGTTGTAATCAAATACTTAATGCTACCCCTATTTCAATTTAAATAGTTTAATTCAAAACGGTCACTTTTTTACTTTCAAATAAAATTGGAAACAAATAAAAAATACATAAAACTTAGGCTAACACTTAAAAATCATAAACACTGCATGTGTGTATTTGTTTTTACACCTTGTGTATAACAAGCTTGTGTGAATGTTATTTATTATTAAAATATTATGATTGATGATACCATTTCTGTCATTTAATTTACCCTAACATGATTATAAATCTAATTCCATTTCTCTGTGTAAAATATTTACAGATATTTACAAGGCAAAAACATTTTTTGGGTAAGAAAGTATAATTGTCTTACAGATTTGTGATCATGTTTAATGACGGAACTTGTATCAAGTGAATTAGCAGTTTCTGTCGGTTAATTTTGTTATATTGTACCCACAAAAGCTAAATAAGATTGTTTATAAGCTTGTAGCCTATATAAGCAGTATTTGTCACAATTGCAACTAACACGCATTTTTACGCTAGAGATTAGTCTGTTTAATTTATTTATATAATTGTTTCTATTGCATTTAAAATGCTTCATATATGTGTGCCGTTTTTAATTAAAATGTTTAAGCTGAAATTGAGTGATGCATAATTATTGTTGAGGAAAAAAAACGTTTGGTTACCACAATAATGCACAGTGTCTAAAATGTCAGGCACTGACAACAGCACAATTTACACCGTTTGTCTGTGGCAGACAAATATGGGAATATTCTATTTTATGTTTGAACCACGTGTAGTGCAAAAACCTGTGGTAACAAAATGTTTAACCACCCAATCTCCAATACAACGTACACTACAAAATGCTGGGTTAAATATAACCCAGCGCTGGGTTATATTTAACCCAGCATTTTTTAGAGTGTATAGGCCTATGAAGTTGTCTTAATGTCTCACCGTGCTGTCTTTCTAGTGAGTTGTCTTCTCCTCCCGTTGATCCTTCCTCACATGAATGCTGGTCGGAGGATGAGGAGTCCAGCACGAGCACACAGGAAGAAATGCTCTCAGCTCCAGCGTTCCCCACCGGCAGAGAAGAGCTTGAACAACCCCGCGCCTCCTGCTCTTCTGCGTATTCCTCATCAAATCCGGCATTTTTCTCGCAATCAAATCCTCCGTTTAATATGTTGTGAATGGAAAAGGAGGTGCGGTTATTCGCCATTTAAAACATAACCTACGCAACCCCCTCGTCAATTTTCGATGGCCCGCAGTTCTACGCTTTTATCTGGGAAGCTCCTGCGCTTTCATGGCGGTGAATTAGTCCGCAGTGTAATTGGTTTCCTCTTTGCGTGTCTTTTAATTGCGGCAAAACGTCTCCTGACCCAATCAACGAGCAAAGTGTCAGAAAATGTCATGTGTGCAGCAGTTTCCTCTCTTTCCCTTCCCGACGCGTTGCCAATGGGCTTACTGGAGCATTTCGCTCCTCCCTCTAAAATAGACGTGTAGAATTGAATACCCACCGAAATCTGTTTACTGGGCTACCACATGCTCTTACTGGCTTTGTTGAGTTTGAGGACATTTTTCGATGACAAACAAGAAAGGCTATTTAATATAACTGCAGCTATATGTGTTATTTGTATTTTTTTTCTCTCCTACACTCTTAAAAATAAAGGTGCTTCACGATGCCATAGAAGAACCTTTTTGTCTAAATGGTTCCATAAAGAACCTTTAACATCTGAAGAAACTTTCTGTTTCACAAAAGGTTCTTTGTGGCAAAAGAAGGTTCTTCAGATTACAAAAAGGTAAGAAAGAGATGGTTCTTTAAAGAACCTTTTACTGAATGGTTCTTTGTGGAACCAAATTTGGTTCTTCTATGGCATCGCTTGAAGAACCTTTTGAAGCACCTTTATTTTTAAGAGTGTACGTTTAAAAAAAAAAAAAAACATTATGGCATTTTTCTAAAAAAACAAACTCTTAGGCTACATTTAAAGTCGTTATAGGCTGCTAAAACCTTTGCTCCGTTAATACACGCGAGTAGCTTTTTAGAAACGTTTTCAAACACTTTTCAATATATGTCAAATCTACTTCATTCAACCAGAAAACGCGTCTTTTAATAAATATGGTCAACATATCTGACAATACTAAGAAAAAACGTAATGACCTTGACACAGAGTCATGAAGGTCTAAAATAAAACATCTCTATATTATGATTATTTTGTCAAAGGACAGCAAAATTGCTTCCCGCATGTTGGTTACGCCACACTGACTCTGATTCGGCTGACAAAATTTTAATAAATTATGTCAAACAACTTTGTCGACATTTCTCTTTTTTCACGGCTTTTTTTTTTTTTAGACAGTTAATGTAGATATTATTGAATTAAGGGGGGAAATCACGATGCATTGTTATTATAAGAGTTGTAGGCTATAATTGATAGTTTTTTTTATATTTGACGTATCCTGCACTTTATAACTGACAAAAAATGCGTGTCTCGTCAAAGGCCCCTATATTAAATGCCTATAGCTATGGCACATTGGTGGGGGGGAGGTCATAATTGCTTGAGTCTAAAAACATTTTTTTTAATTCTTAAAATAGGCTACTTTGCGTTTTTTGTATAATCTGTCTACATCTTACAACCAGCACTTACTATTTCATGTTTTGCTCGTTATTTTTAATGTTCAACATTTGTGTTGTTTAGACGTATACAGTTAACATATTTGATAATAGACATTTTGCTATAAGTTTGATTGCATCATATAATAATTGCTGTTAATAGTGTTCATCGTCTGTTTGATTACGTCTTAAATGGAGTTTTCCGTACATTTCTGCCATATGTACATTAACTGACAGTCACCACTGATAAGCTACCACTAAATATTGTAGAAACTTAATTTGCTGTAAAGTTGCTTTGCAACGATTTGTATCGTGAAAAGCGCTGTACAAATAAACTTGAATTGAATTGAAAAAAATTGAATAGAATTAATCAAATTCTTTGCTTTTATTCAAGCTTTTGTTTTCTGATCTGAAGCAATACCGTTTCACGCAGTAGCCTATAGGCTATATGTATTTTTTTTATTTGTATTAGGCTATATTAGCTGTGTTATAGGGTATTAGATATGTTTAGCTACTTGTTAGGTTCTTCATTTAAATTCTAAAACACTTTCGTTCTTTGAAACACAAAATACGAGGCTGTATTTAAGTTTTTCGTCTGGAGAACTGCATTTTTTTTTCTTCAGCTATTCTTTTACCTCGAGATGCAATATTTATTTATTGATATTTGTTTAGCAATGGGATTTTATTTTTGCATCTTGAATTCAAGCATGTAGTTTTAAATATTTTTTCTTTATATGCATACATATTTTTTGTAAATGCTTATTTGTAAAGCACTTACAACGGCAATTTCCATTCAAATGTCTTGTGTAATGCTCTTAAGCCTGTCTGTAATATTTATAACTCATACAGATGTTTTGTGAATATCTCTCGGTTCCTGACAGGTTTTCTAATGGGTTATGCAGAATGAGCACACTAATAGTTTACAGCGACGTTCCAGTGAATGTGGGTATTTCGACTGTATGACATTGTGAAGTAAATCTCAGCTCGTTGTAAATGTTTCTCAAAGCCATTGTTCTCCGTTTATGTTTTCAAGGAATACGATTACAGCGCCTCCATGTGGCCAACTGGTGTTCTGCTGTGTGTTTGTGCAGCCAATGAAACTAGGCTAGCCATGTTCCCAAAGCTAAGACGAATCTTCCAGCATTCGTAAAAAGTCTGAACTTTTTTTATTTAAATAATTCTACGTGACGACATAATTTCATGCAGTTCGTTAAAGACAGCATTTTTATTATGTTATGCATGAAACCGAGAGCGACAGTGGTGCTATGCATGGGCTTGATTTTCTGTGTTCTTACGTTTGTAAATAGCCTATTTGATGCATACAGTGACACACTGCACTAATTGTACCTTTCATTTGGTATATTGAGTGTTTTTCACTCACTCTATTCCAAATGACAGATTCTGATGCTCAACAAGGATCATTGAGGCTTGGTATAGGCTAGGCTATATGTTCTGTTTTCAAGATATTTGTATAAAAATAAAAATAGGCTACAAAAACTTGCTGCGCTTGTGTATATGTCAGGGGTGCCCAAACTCGGTCCTGGAGGGCCGGTGTCCTGCAGAGTTTAGCTCCAACCCTAATCAAACACACCTGAAGCAGCTAATCAAGGTCTTACTTGGCATACTAGAAACTTCCAGGCAGGTGTGTTGAGGCAAGCTGGAGCTAACCTCTGCAGGGCACCAGCCCTCCAGGACCGAGTTTGGGCACCTCTGGTATATGTGGTGTAATGTTTCACATATAAGTGCTCACAACCCAAACTGAGCCAGATCTTGTAAAGTGGTTCATGTTTAAAACATTTTTAAAAACAACTTTTAGCAGCTAGGATGCTTTTCTTTTGTTTGCACTTCCCGACGTTCTACCAAATAAATATTACTCTGCTGTTGTTTATGTTGAGTAAGCCATATCACCATATTGGGAGGTCTGAAATGTTGTAAATGTTTTTCACTCTAAAGAGACATTCTAATTCATCAGGCCAGATGCGCAGAAAAAAAACATCTGGGCGGTTACGCATCAGATTCAGTGGCCTCGTTTATTTCTCCTCTTTTCAGATGTCAGTTTTATTTCATTTTGTATTTTGTATCATATTCTCGGGTCCTTGAAAGAATGGCAATCTTGTCAGGTACCTCGTCTTCATACATTAAAACTGTCTCATGTTTTGTATAAAGAACGTGCGTTTGGAGGACGAATGTGATGTGACCAGCAGGGGACGCTTTCCATCCAGAGCTCTCGGTGTAAAGGTGCTGACAGTGTAAACTACATTTAGGATAACACCCAAAGCTGTAGTACTCAACCTTTGTGGATTTCTCTTAAGATATGCTATTTCTCACCTTGAGATTTGTGACAAAATTAAGACCTGTTAATAATTCTTTATCTGCAAATATCTTTCCTCACTTAGTAAATGTGTTGTTCATTCAGATTGTGATGTTTGAGATCATGCAGCATAGGGTTATGAAAGCAAACCATTCAGATGCTGTGATTTATGCTTATGCAGCTGAATTCACCACGCATTCTCTCTTTTCCTCTTTTGTTTTCATTAACCCTTGGTTTCATCACTTTAATTAGCTTATTAGCTTATGTTCTCCTTGTTTGCCCGCTTTGCAGTTTAAAAGATGAATTCAGTGGCCTTATAGCTTTGACCTCGTGTTCTCTTGAAATAATTCTTGTGTTCGTAATCATCTTTTTTCCTTCCTTTTTATCTCTATACAGATAACCAGTCCATGTACTGTAGATATTTTCTTCCTTTGTTGCCTACCTCCTTTGATTTAGGACTACTGATATTTTAGTTACATGACAGTGATTAATTTCAGAATTCTAAAACTATTATAAATGCATTTATAATATTTTAACCATATGTGGTCAAGCCAACAGTTTTTTAGCTTGTATAGTCATCAGAAATGGCCATGCAACTACTAATATTTGGCCTATGACACACTAGTTTAGGGGAACTAACCCCACCCTGTCCTGATATTCGTCCAGAAATCCTCTCTATAGATTCATATCTGTCGTCCAGCACTCTCTCTATAGCGGCTCATCCTGAGGCGTCGCCGCTCTGTCGCCATGAGTATTTACACTGAAGTGTCTGGGCCACTTACCCTGACAGCAGGTATGTCCAATGGCCTTGCAGTAGCGAGGGGAACTGTTCTTCCTTGCTATTAGTAGATACAACCCCCCGATGACTCTGTTTACTTTTCTATTAATCTTCATTATTAGAGTGGGAGCTCTGGTGTGAACCCGTGAATGGGCTGAAGGATAAACGAGTTACGCCGTGCGTAATGGACGAACATATACTTGTTTCAATCAAAGCTTTATGTTTGTTATTACGAAATATGTAGTGAGGAGCTGAAATACAGTAGCTGAAGCACGCCATGTCCTTTCTTTCTACTGTTTCTTTTCTTTTCTAAGGTTTAAGGATGTGTTTTTTTTTTTATTTTACTATTTTATTTTGTTATATATTGTCATTATAGGAACTGTCAGGTCAAAAGATGCTTAGGCCAGCAATCTCGAAGGAGCTTTTTCCACAACACGAAAAATGCAAAGTGCGAAAATATTTAGGTAGCCTAATAATAATAATAATAATTCCATGTAGTATCCGAATTAACAGGTTTTATTGAAGTAATTTTTAATATAATTCATACTTTTATAAAGGTTGCACACCTTAAAGTGATTTGCAGGATAAAGTTCTATATAAACGAGATAAACGCTTGTAATGCGATTAAAAACGATGTGTGTCATTATAAGCTATTCAGTTACATCGTATAACAACATGCAATGACTACTAGAGAAGACTGAAACCTGCCATTGGAGGAAGAACAAATAGGAGGAGTAGGGAGTGAGTGAGATCAATTCATGTCTCTCTTGCCAACAGTGCTTATTTATTAATGTATTTTAAAGCAATTGCAGGTGTGAAATTGTTATT